GATATCCATGTGCAAAAAAATGAAACAAGACCCATACCTCACACCATGCACAAAAACTAACTCAAAATGGATCAAAGACCTAAATATAAAATCTAAAACAATAAAGATCATGGAAGAAAAAATAGGGGCAACACTGGGAGCTGTAATACATGGCAGAAACAGAATACAAACCATAAGTAACGATGCACAAACACCAGAAGAGAAACTAGATAACTGGGAGCTCCTAAAATCAAAGACTTATGCTCATCAAGAGACTTCACCAAAAGAGTAAAAAGACAGCCTACAGACTGGGAAAAAATTTTTGACTATGACAAATCTGATCAGCATCTAATCTCTAAAATCTACGAGATACTGCAAAACTCAACAACAAAAAGACAAATATCCCAATTAAAAAATGGGCAAATGATATGAACAGGCACTTTACCAAAGAAGACATTCAGGAGGCTAACAGATACACAAGGAAATGCTCACCATCATTAGCCGTTAGAGAAACATAAATCAAAACGACAGTGAGATACCATCTCACCCCAACAAGGCTAGCATTAATCCAAAAAACACAAAACAATAAATGTTGGAGAGGTTGTGGAGAGACTGGAACGCAGATACACTGCAGGTGGGCATGTGTAATGGTACCACCACTTTGGAAATCGATTTGGTGCTTCCTTAGAAAGCTAGAAATAGAAGTAACATATGATCCAGCAATCCCACTCCTTGGAATATATCCTAGAGAAATAAGAGCCTTCACAGGAATAGATATATGCACACCCATGTTCATTGCAGCACTGTTCACAATAGCAAAAATATGGAAACAACCTAGGTTCCCATCAGCAGACGAATGGACAAACAAATTATGGTATATTCACACAATGGAATACTACGCAATGATAAAGAACAACGATGAATCCGCAAAACATGGATGAATCTGGAAGGTATTATGCTTGAGCGAAATTAGTCAATCGTAAAAGGACAAATATTGTATGAGACCACTATTATAAGAACTCAAGAAAAGGTTTAAAAACAGAAGAGAACATTCTTTGATGGTTACAACGGTAGGGAGGGAGGGAGAGGGGTATTCACTAACTAGACAATAGATAAGAATTATCTTAGATGAAGGGAAGGACAACACACAATACAGGGAAAGTCAGCACAACTGGACTAAAACAAAAGCTAAGAAGTTCCTGAATACAACCAAACACTTTGAGGGACAGAGTATCTGGGGTAGGGGTCTGGGGACCATGGTTTCAGGGCACATCTAGGTCAATTGGCATAACAAAGTGTTTTTTTTTTAAATTTTTTTATTGTACTTTAGATAAAGGTTTACAGAACAAATAGTTTCTCATTAAATAGTCAGTCTACATATTGTTTTATGACATTGGTTTACCCCACGACATGTCAACACTCTCCCTTCTCAACCTTGGAGGACCTTTTTTTTTTTTTTTTGGTGAAAATATACATAGCCAAAGTTACACCATTTCAAAAGTTTCTACGTGTACAATTCAGTGCCACTGATGACATTCTTCAGTTGTGCTGCTATTCTCACTATGCTTTTCCAAATTATTCCATCACCATTATCTTCAACTCACTGTCCCCTAGGCTTCCCATCAAAACTTTTGAGTTGCTGTTGTCAATTTGATCTCACATAGATTAATTCTTTTTTTTTTGTACCTTAGATGAAGGGTTTGCAGGACAAATAGTTTCTTATTAAAGAATTAGTACACATATTGCCCTATGACAATGGTTAACAACCCCACGACATGTCAACACTGCCCCTTCTCAACCTTGGGTTCCCTGTCACCAGCTTTCTTGTCCCCTCCTGCCTTCTGGTCCTTGTGCCTGGACTGCTGTGCCTCATTAGTCCCGTTTCGTTTTATGAGGTTGTCCAATCCTCGGCTGAACGGTGAACTTCGGGAGTGACTTCACCACTGAGCTAAAAGGGTGTCCAGGGGCCATACTCTCGGGGTTTCTCCAGTCTGTCAGGCCAGTAAATCTGGTCTTTTTTTGTGAGTTAGGATTTTGTTCTACATCCTTTTGCAGGTCTGTCCAGGACCCTCTATTGTGATCCCGGTCAGAGCAGTCAGTGGTGGTAGCCAGGCACCATCTAGCTGTACTGGACTCAGTCTGGTGGAGGCCATGGTAGCTGTGGTCCATTAGTCCTTTGGAGTAATCTTTTCCTTGTATTTGTTCTCTTCATTCTCCCTTGCTCCCAAAGGGTTGAGACCAGTGGAGTATCTTAGATGGCTGCTCATGGGCTTTTAAGACCCCAGACACTACTCACCAAGGTAGAATGTAGAACATTGTCTTTATAAACTGTGTTACAATTGGCATAACAAAGTTTATTAAGAAAATGTTCTGTATCCCATTTTGGTGAGTGGCGTCTGGGGTCTTAAAAGCTAGTGAGCAGCCATCTTAGATGCAACAATTGGTCCCAACCCACCTGGAGCAAAGGAGAATGAAGAACACCAAAGACACAAGGAAAATGTTAGCCCCAGAGGCAGAAAGGGTCACATAAACCAGAGACTCCATCAGTCTGAGAGCAGAAGAACTAGATGGTGCCTGGCTACTACCAATGACCACCCTGACAGAGGATATAATAGAGAGTCCCTTATGGAGGAGGAGAAAAGTGGGGTGCAGAACTCAAATTCTAGTAAAAAGACCAGACTTAATGGTCTGCCTGAGACTGGACAGACCATGGAAGACGTGGCCCCTGGAATCTCTGTTAGCCCAGAAATGAAACCATTCCAGAAGCCAACTCTTCAGATATAGATTAGACTGGACTATAAGACATAAAATGATACTTGTGAAGAGAGTGCTTCTTAGCTCAACTAGATACATGAGACTAAATGGGTAGCTCCTGTCTGAAGACCAGATCAGAAGTCAAAAAGGTACAGGAGCTGGTTGAATCGACACGAGAAATCCGGGGTGAAGAGGAGTGTGCTGTCACATTATACGGGAGGCAACTAGGGTCACATAACAATGTGTGTATAAATTTTTGTATGAGAAACTAACACTTACCCTTAAAGCACAATAAAAAATAAAAACTGTCATAACAAATGTATGATAAATTTTCACATTTTTGTTTAATTAAATCCCTGGAAATGTTATTGTGCCTAAATTTCACAACTGCATTTCCTAAAACTGATTTTAGACGTACTCTGTAAGTTTTGGGCTTATAAATCAGTCAGCGAAATTAAAACTCTATGATTTTTTTTTTTAATGAGAATGATGTAGGAAGCCTGTATAATACTAAACCATTTCATGGTTTCCCTGTTTTGTTTTGTTTTTTCATAGATCCACTGTGTGTGGAGAATAATGCAGTATCATGCCAGCAGTCTTCAGCTAGTAAAAAAGGGATGTTTACAGATGACTTTCACAAGCTGGTAGATGACTGGACCAAGGAAACAGTAGGAAATTCTCTCATTAAGCCAAGTTTAAACCAACTTAAACAGAGTCAACAGAAATTAGAAACAGACAACTGGAACAAAGCATATGAAGTAAGTTGTTTATACCTGTTCCTCATTATTTATGAGAACTAAAACCATAACAATTGATGCACTTATGCCTGTAATTGTGTGCCTCTTGTAGTTATAGTCACTATGAGAGAAGTAGTATGACTTGATAACATAGAGATTTTTATCCTTGTCTAAATTTACTATGTCTTTGAGCAAATTATGTTTTAGACCTAGGATCAGCTATTTTTTCTGGGAAAGGGCCAGGTAGTAAATATTTTAGGCTTTTCAAGCCATGTGGATGCAGCTACTCAGCTCTGCCATTGTAGTGCAAAAGCAACCATAGACAATACATAAATGAATGAGCATAGCTTTGTTCCACTAAAACTTTATTTATAAAAACAAGTGGCAGGGCTGTAGGATGCTGATCCTTGTTTTAGACTATGCTACCTGAGGGGGAAAAAGAAACAACCATCAAATATCAAAGAAGAAAGCATCTGGAGTGAGGATTAATTTAATCCTGTGATACAAGAAGAGTTTGGAGTTTGAGGAAAAGCTACCCTGTGTTGCACATCAGTATTCTTTGAGCCAATAAATTATCTTATTTGTTCAGTATGAAAAGGAATTTTAAAACTCATTAAGCTAGAATATTATAAGACATGTCTTATGTTTGTGGACTAGATTCCTAGTTAATTGCATGTGGTATTAGGTGAACATGCAATTGAAATGTAGAAAGGTGTCCACAATGCATTCTGGAGTGGGAAGAAGGCAGGTTTATAGAATAGTATATATGTTATAAGATAATTTATGTAAAATTATATACATTTTACTTGTATGCATAGAGAAATATGAAAAGCTGTGAGTAAAATGCTGGGTGGTGGAATTTGAGCCCTTTTTTTACTTTGTACTTTTCTGTGTTTGAGTTTTTAAGGTAAGTATTAGTTTTTCAAAATGCATAAACCTATTAAAATGTGAATCAGGGCCATAGAATCTGAGCTCTCATAATTGAAGGAGATATATCTGTATATGTGTGTCTGTGTTATGTGTATATTTTTTTGTGTGTATATAGTCATTGAATATAATTTGCTAAAGAAAGTCTGAAAACATATATATTGTTAATGCTGCATAACAAGTTTCAAAATCCTAGGTTTCCCAAACTAGTAAGCAGTACATCTGCTTGGGAGTTTTGTGTGTTTATCTTACTCCTGGCACCAATTTATATACAGTTTATATCACCATTGTAAAAATTGGGAGCCTTTAGAGGCAAATTTCAAGGCATAAATATATCTGTGCTGCCTTTGAGAGACTCTTTGAATACTGTGTGAATGGAAGCTTTTGTTGACCAGTAGAAGGGTGATTTACTGCAGTATAATGGGGGATGTTTGGAGGAAGAGTGAGTATAAAATGGAGTATTAATAAAAACAATGAAGGCCTTTAAAGAGACTTGGATTTCAATCTCAGCCCATTCATTTACTGGTGGTGATATGACTTTAGGCAAGTCACTTGATATCTCTGTGTCTCAGTCTCCATGTCTTTAAAACAGGGATAACACCTATAAAGTGCCTAGCACATTAAAAAAAAAAAAAATGAAATTCATTGCCGTCAAGTCGATTCTGACTCATGGCAACCCTATACAACAGAGTAGAACTGCCCCATAGGGTTTCCAAGGAGCAGCTGGTGGCCTCAAACCACCAACCTTTCCGTTAGCAGCTGAGCACTTTAACCACTGTAACACCAGGGCTCCTTTAGCACATAGTAGGCACCCTATATATGGTAATGATTACTAGTTTTGTATTTTTAGGTTCAGTTGATTGTATCTTTGTGTGACGAGCCCATCTCACTATTTAATGTTCTTGCATGTTACTGTTCTACAGCCTTACTTAGAAAATTTTATTCCTACAAATTATTTTTGAGCACCTCTTTACTGTGTGCCAAGTCCTCTGCTAGGTACTAGGTTTGATGAGCAAATACAAGTATTGTCCCTGTCCTCCTGGAGCTTATTATACTCTAGTGGGACAGTTAGATATTAACAGACTTACATAAATAAATATAAAATTACAACTGTGATAAGGGCTACAAGGCAGAGATATACGATTCCATACAGTAAGGGAAATTTGACCTAGTTAAAGGGAGGTCAAAGAAAGCTTCCCTGAGAAAGTGATGACCGAGGAGAGATCTGAAGGACAGTAGGTGTTAACTGGGTGAAAGGAGGAGGGAATATGATTCCAACCAGAAAGAACAGCATATGCAAGGGCCCTGTACAAGGACCCATGAAGGGACTGAAAGTAGGCCAGTTTGGATGAAGTCAAGAGAGCAAGGAGGAGTTGGTGCACCAAGAATCTAAGGAGGTAGGTAGAGTCTTAAAAGTAGCAATGGTTAGGAACTTTGTCTATTTTAAGAAGATGGTAGCCATTGAAGCCCTAAGGTTAGCATGATCAGATTTGCTTTTTGAAAAGATCACTCTAGCTGAAGTAAGAAGAAAGGATTAGTGGGGAGGGAGGGAGGAGGGTTGGTAGATATTGGTAGACCTGTTAAGAGTTAGTCACAGTAGTCTAGATAAGGGGAAGTGGAGATGAAGTGAACAGATTCCAAGAAATATTTAAGAGATAAAATGGACAAGATTTGGTGATGGAATGGATATATGGCAGAGGGGAGATGTCAAGGCTAGGTTTCTGGCTTGTATAACTAGATGCCATTCCAGCATACCAATCACTGAGACAGGGAACAAAGCAGATGATGTGTTTTGGTATGGGAAGTTCCCATATTTGGTTTTGGGGCATTTGAATCTGAGATGCCTTTGAAATATCCAAGATAATATTATTTATTGCAAGTCCAATTCAGTCTTTTTTAAAAATAAAAATCACATTGTTGTTGTTTTTAAAATAATGCATACTTGTTAAGGAAACTTAATCAATGCAGAAAGTACAAGAGATTTTAAAATAACACCATCAAATCCCACCACCCAGAAATAATTGTCATTAACTTTAAATAAACATCATTTCAGATATCTTTCTATGTCTGTGTATGGATGGATGGAAATACTTTTATAAAAATGCAATCATACTATATGTGCTGTTTTGAATTAGAAGTATTAAATTTAATTTTACTTTAACAGAAAGAAAACACTGATATGAAGAAGGGATTGCTGAACTTTAAGTAAATGTTTTTTCACCACAGGAGATACTCTCATTCATTCTTGAGTCAAGCTAAAACCCTTTACCCTAACTTTAAGTTGAAAATTTAATTGAAAGGGTTTCACTTTTACCATTCAGTTAAGTTTAGAAGAAGTAAGCATTTGGGACTGATACCAGCCTTCCCTTTAATTGAGATTATTTACTTCCATTAAACTTATTCCCATGAACATAAGACTTCAGTATTCTCCATACATATGCATAATCACAATACAATATGATAAAAAGAGTCAGGTAGGAATATATTTTCTCAATACTACCAAAAACATAATTATCTCTTTGTCTTGAGTTTAAATTTCCAAAAATATAACAGAAATGTCGACTTTAAGATAGTGAGTAGAAGGGGTAAAGAGTAGGGAGGTTAACATTTATTGTGTCCCTACTATATGACAGGCTCTTTCCACTATGCCACACCAAATCATGCCCCTGGGTCTCCAAAGAACTACGTAGTAAGACTGGCTATTCTTGTTTATGGTGCTGCATAAGAGAATGCCTGGGACTGGCAGAAGGAACTAAAAATAGAAGAGTAGTGCTGGCATGAGGAAAATAGGAACTGAAATGTAAATGGGGATGTAGGGTAGCAAGGGCCTTGAAGTTAGCTGGAACTGTGTTCATTTCCCTGCCTCACTACTAACTTGTTTTGTGGTGTTGGGTGAGTTACCAGTTTTGAGCTTCTGTTTGCTCATCTGAAAATCCCTACCTTGCAGAGCAGTTATGAAGGTGAAATGAGATAAAGCATGTAACTATGTTTAGCACACAGAAAGGTACTCCAAAAATGGTAGCCATTCATAGTAATAATAGAGGTTGTAAGCCAAAAAGAGTAAGAAGGATATAGATGGGTAAAAAGCATATACTAAATAAACTGATCTTTTGTTTTTATTTTTTGTTTTTGTTAGAATACTCCATCTACTATGGGCTACACATCAACATGGATTTCTTCTCTGTCCCAAATCCGTGGAGCTGTCCCAACTTCCTTACCACAAGGACTCTCACTCCCTTCATTTCCTGGGCCATTATCATCATATGGAATGCCCCATGTTTGTCAGTATAATGCTGTTGGGGGGACAGGGTATCCAGTACAGTGGGTAGGAATTTCAGGAACAACAACACAGCCTGTAGTAATTCCTACCCAATCTGTGGGACCATTTCAGCCGGGGGTGAATTTGCAGGCATTTATAGCTTCATCAGGGCAGAATCCAGCCACAGTCCCTCCTGGTCCCAAATGAATCAGAGTAGATAATGAAGAAGAGGGAGATTTTTTTCAGAATTATTTTCAGAACACCTAAGATATTAAAGTTTCTTCTTGGGTTCTGCCAGGTTTTCCCCCATTTGAGTTTACTTTCAACTGTTTCTTCTGTTCCACTGTAGTATTTGATACAGCTCATCATTCTGTAGAAATGTGCGGTTTGTACATAGAACACTGCACACAGGAATGATTGTTGACTTCAAATCCTATCCTCTTTGATACTTGATTTTTTAAAAATACTGTTCAGAATGCTTTAATAAGCTTGGTTTGAGCATTACCATTTCCAGGACAATTTCCATGCATTGCTGAGAAACCCTATTTTTTACTGCTGCTATCTGCAGCTGGACGATGCTTTTCTTTAAAGTGTATAAAGATTATTTAAATTGATTCTCCCCAAACATGGATGAAGTGAGACCCTCCAACAGCTGGAGTCTTATGAGATTCTTCACATGTTTATCTTAGGTTTACCTTTCACAGTAGGCAGAGTAACTTGCTGCAGGGAACTTTTTTGTATAAAATTATAATAACTTTGTCAACCAATAGAGAACATCAGCCCTTTTTAATGTGATTTTCTTCCTGTCATCACAGCAGTAGGAGTGAATCCTTGTTTTGGGTGAGACGGAGGGAAAGGAAAAAACAGAGAACTGTAGCAGTTCCTTGATTCTGCAGATACTTTAGCTGCTTTAAGATTTCAGTAGTAATTCAAAGCATCTCTGAGTAAAGCAGCTATCTCCTTGTTTCTCACATGCACTTTACATTGTTTTTGAGCATCTGAGAGGCATTGGTTTGGCTTACATTCTTTTTCAAGGGATATATTGCAGCTGTTATGAATCTTATTTGGGAGAAAATCCTTGTATTCCTAACAAAGAGGATTCAAGTTACAGCTCTATTGATCCACTCTTCTGAAATGAAATTTACTTGACACAGTAGCTTTTGTAGGTTTTGATTCTTATACATGAAACACTGGCTTTACAGGGTTCTAAGAGATGTGAGGTATACGCTGTCCTGCAGTGAGATAGTAGACCCTTTAAGGATACTATTTAAGTTGCCCTTAGATTTTTTGTATCACCATTTTTTTTAGTTGTTATAGTTTCTTGTTAGTATCTATAGCATCTTAGATGATTTTAGATTTTAGATGATTTTTGGCAGCCTCTTTAGAATCTGAGATCACTGTCAAGTTGCACTTTACTGGTTTTTATCCAGTTTTGGGAGGAGGAGAGGCAATGTCAAAATGTACACTTTTGGTTTTCAAGACAGTTAACTATAATAATCTTAAAAAGACTGGTCACAGGGTTACCTAATGCCCAGTCTGTGAAACCCAAATAGAATTCTTAAATGATATTTATCAACTACCAAGTATACATGTTTAACCTACCTACTTTTCACTCTGAAGATTTCAAGGTCGTTTCTAGTACACATTTATCTGATTAAGAGTTCTATCCAAATTGTCACGCAACATTTCTGCTAACAGACTTTCCTCCATAGTCCTCTCAAAATTGTATCCCATGGGCTTTCCAGATAATGAGGAAAACTTAGTGGGTGTACTTTTTTTTCCCCACACAGTTTACTTTGTGATACTCAGTACCCTTTTTCAAGAAAACATGCTTATATTGCTTACCTGAGGATCACACCCATCATGAAGATTCTGTTGCTGTCATTTGGGGCATCTAGGGCAGCATTTTGATAATTGCTGTTGATAAGAGCCACTGGTCCCTTTCATAAAACATACTCTGTTTTGAATGAGTCCAAATCTTATGTACAGATTCTTCTAATTTCTTCTACAGTATTGGTTTGCAAATTGAAGTGATTTTAGGACATTTAGTGTAGTGTTTTCCATGTGTATAAAAACAATGCTCCTAAAATCCATAATTCTTTAAAACTGCACATGTTTCATTATAAGAGTTGGCTTTGTGTAATTACATTGAGACATACAACCTATAAAGTGAAAATACTTTATTTTAAGACCCCTTCTTCTCTAGTTGCAATCTTTTTAAACAGTGTACCCAGGATGAAAAAAGCTCCATGGATGACATGCACAATTACATTTATTAATGGCTGCTCTATACCGTATGTCCTGCATTTTGCCACCACCTCTGTTTTACATATAATTCATCATTCTTGTTTGCCTGCAGACTTTTGCAGTGCCTTGTGATATTTAGAATCTTTTCAGGTTTTTGCTGGAAAGAAAAGTAGTCTTCTAAAGTTTGAAGATGGTGAATACTGTACTGCTGTCTCCATAGTGACTGCAGTAGTTGGGTTAACATATATGTTATGTATACATTATGTATATGTAATGTGTGTGTAAGTTTTAAAATACATTTAAAAAGTGAGTTTGTGCAGAAATGAAGAAAACAGTGTTATTCACATCACTGTGGGTTTTTATTTAAATTATTTTTTCCCATTAAATATTTGATTCAGATTATAGTCACTTTGACTGTAAATATTGGCTAGTTTTTTATCTAGGGGTTTTGCATTATTTCATAATTTTGCTGAATTCATATAATATTGCTGTTTTCATCCTTGCTGAGGTACGTGGGACTTTCTCGCCCCAGAAATAATTAACTCTTGAGGTAAAGCTCAGAAATTCCCTTCTTACTTAACAAAGAGCCTACTATATAAAAAGGGCCTTCTACCCATTTCCAAAAAAAACACACAAAGCTGTCTTTTTCATTCTCCTCGTAGAAGAGAAAAAGATTGTACTTAACCATCCTGCTTGTAAAGTTTATTTGGGGTGGGGGGGAGTAGTCTGTATGTCCAGCCACCATGTTTACTTCTCAAAGTGCAAGTCTAATGAATAGTACTGTATCTCTATTATGTGGCAATGTTAGCATTTCATCATGAAGTACCTGCTGCTATGTCTGTGAAGTTGGGTGTAACATCTTAAGAATATGAAACCAGTATTGGTGTAAATCTAATGAAAATAACCCTATGTATATTTGTAGCAGTCTTGAATCTCTATTTAAGGTAATTTGCTGTAATATAAAAAATATCCATTCTGTTTTTCATCCCTTCCTTGCCAGTTTTATATCAAGCATGAATTCTAATGGTTTGAGAGCAAAATTGTCTGTGAAAGTTTAAAAGGCACTTTTCTGCTGTGATTTTTAGATTGAATGTGGAGTGTTATATACAGTATGATGGGATATATCATTTTAGAACCCCAGATTTAATTCCAGTCCTATTACTTTTGTTTATCTACCTCGTTTTCAGTGCTGTTTTGGGGTGCACAAGTAAACACTGCCTGTGAAACTTGCTTTTTTTGCCTTGATTCTCAGTATTCTTTCAGATTATAAACCTGACCTGCCTCCTTGCGCTAGCCATGAGTTTGAGTTGAAAGGGACCATCTCTCTGCCACCAATCTATGTTTAATTTACATACAAGAACCGTGTGCCTCTGTGAAATAAGCTTTGGGGATTTGGGGATGGAGAGCAGAGACACAAATGTGAGCTGGTGGCGATATATGACTTAGTCACAGGAGTTAGGTAAAAAATAAATAAATGGTTAGAAAGTACCTAAATTAGACAGTCTAGTGCCTATAACTTTGCATTTTTTATTAGAGATGCATTTCTTGTCTGTGTGCCTAAAGGGCTGTGGGTTGAAATTGCTTTAACTACCACAGTGAAATATTTGACAAACCTACAACAATGGCCTGTCATTCGACAAATTAGCATACTGCTAGGTGTTTGCAGTGATATTTTGTTACCTTAAAATGTCTGTATCCTTTTAGTTGAATTGTAGTTGGTAGTAAGGGCTTTATATAACTGTTTATCCAATTTCTAAAGTTTATGGAGGCATTGACTTTCTTCTTTGATGTCCTTTATGAGTGATTAAAATGATGTATTCCTTTTTTTTCCCTGAAAACTCAGCAAATGTTTATAAACCAGATGTTCCTTATTTTACATATTTACTCTGTAACATGACAGCATATTTAAAGTTAGTAAATACTGTGTTTCAGTCATCATCCATAAGTACATTCCTGAGGTATATTTACCATCAGTTTGGGATTCAGTTATTTAATCTTCTATTCGGTTCAGAAAAACTTGAGATATTTGAGGCCGTTTTTCTAGAATAGATTGTTCATTTTTTGAATCTGTAGTTTACTGGGGACTTGATTCCTCTCCCCCCCACCCCCCGTTTAGAAGATGAATCAGAAAGGGAGAATGTGTAGAAAAGGCCATTGATTTGAGAAATGTAATTCCTAGGACAAATTTTTTTAAAAAGCCAGTCCACATTGTGAAAAGGTGACACTCAGATTGGTAAAATCCTTTGAAGTGGGATTAGTGTGAAAATTTTATGGCGCCAGATACTTTCAGGTCACCCTGGAAATAGTCTTTTTATGTGAAGGATGAACACAAACATAGGCAAGGGACCTTGCCAGACCGCAGAGGAAGGGGTTGGGGCCTGGGATAGTAACTAAATTGCACTAAAGTTATTTTCAACTGAGATAGCTGGAAGAGTATACAAACCAGCAGCTCCCATTCTGGAAGGTTTTTTTTTTTTTCTTTTTAATTAAAAAACAAAAAGGCTAAGTCAAGCAAGAAGGGAAGAGGGAAACTGGGCTCTGAGAAAAAAATGTGTCAGTGTAAAACTCCTAAATGTTTGCTTGTCATGCTTCTAGTTTTTTTGTTTGTTTGTTTTTTAAAATTGCGTTTCTTTTCCACTATAACTTAAGAATCAAGATTGAGGTTTGTGGTCCAGAGCATACCCTCAGCAGAAATAGTGACTATTTGGAAAGTGCAGTTGTTCAAGGTCTGTCATGCTCACTCACTTAAAGCTGTAGTTTTTTTATATGAATATTAGGCATATAGACCTAGTGCAGCATGGGAGCCACTCAGGAAGTTTTTGCAATTAATATAACTTTCATGCATAATTTACTATGAAAGTATGCAGATTTTCAGCCACTTCGCTACACTTAACATTTAGTTGTATATGTGAATTCTCCTTTCTTAATTGGAGAATGTAGTATATAGAATGTTGTTAAACTTATTTTTAATCCTTTCTGACATTAGTTTTTGTGTGTGAGTTTTGTTTTGGTTTTTTGTAGACTAAGTGATCTGCAGCAGTTGTCTGATTTTGGTTCTTTGAAACTGTGATTTTTATTTCATTTATACTCAACCATTGTAAGGTGTTTTTTTTTTTTTTTTTTTTTCTGTTTTGTTTTTTGTTTCCTGAAAATTTTGTTTTGAAACAAAATAAAGGCTGTGTTAAATGAGTATGTTTTCTTATTAAACTGTTTCTTGATTCATCACATGTAATTTAGCAGATTTTTAAAAATTGGTCCTGTAGATTATACTGGCTGAAAGAAACTAACCAAGCTGTGTGTTACCTCTTGATTTACAGCTCCAACAAATTTTGAGTTGAACCTCTTCTCCACGCTTGCAAGTGAGCCATAATTGTAAGAGTCACTATAATTTACCAAGTACCTACTATGTTAGCTAGGCTTTTAGCTGTGATATCTTTAATTCTCACAACAATCCTATAAAATAGGTCTGTTACTATCTCCACCTGACAGGAAAAATTGGAGGATCAGAGAGATTAAAGAACTTGGTCACACACAGCTGGTAAATGATGAAGCCTGGATCCAAACCCAGGTCTCTCTGACTCCAAAGCTCATGGAAGAAACTCCAGGCCATACTGATTCTCAGATATAGTGCATGCATAATAATCCAAATACATTTCAAATAGATTTTATCTAATTATTGGGATAAGTGTGTGCATCTTTTACATACCTTTCATGAAGTTGTATCCAGTGCTTGTTTCATAATTTCAGAAG